AGGACGGCTGCATCTCATCGCTCTCAACCAGACTTAGACCACCACTGGACTGCGATCACCAGTTCTGGCCAGACTGCAGCAGCTCTCCCACCAGCAGGTTCTTCCCCTCTCCCTTTACTTTGGACTCAAACAGGGCCCAAGGAACACCACTTTGTTCATGCCCCAGGTTATACATTTGGGTTTTTGTGGGTTGAGACCAATTGTTTGTTTGTATTATTGTACTTACTGTATTATTTTAATAAATTGTTATTCTGACTTATAATCTCTCCTTTGAGTTGAGTTCATCCCCCTGCTGGCTAACTTTTAAACCAGCACAGGAACAGAGGACCAGGATGGGGATGAGGGACTGGGATAGGGAACAGAGCACCAGGATAGGGCCCCTGGCTTGGCTCATTCCCATTGGCCCCAAATTCCAGCTCACACCCATCCCTTTCCCAGGGCGATGTGGGGGTTCCCCTGGCACAGCCCCCTCCTCCACAGCTCTCAGGCCCCCTTGGAATGTGGAGCACAAACCACACAAATAGCAAACCAAGATTTATTAAAGGCACAGGGGAAACGCAAAAACATGGACTGGTTTTCTGAAGAGCTCCTACTCTGGGTATATGAACACTGAAACAATTCACAGTACATTTAACTGTGCCTATAAGTCATTTAAACGGGACACTTTGAGTCCACTCTACCTCCTCCTAGAATTTAAAACAAGGAAAAGAAACAATGAGAACAGAAACTTGTGTAACCTCACACAACTGCCAAAAACACAGCATCTTCAAACTGGTTTTTTTAACACATGCTGCAGTGAGACAGTCAGGATAAAGTCACTGGAAGTCTTGCTGGATATTCTCCTTGTTTGCTTCCCCGTGCTGCTGTTTGATCTGTGAGATTTCATTTTCCAGCTGCACAATAGTTCGTTCGATCTCGTAATTTTTACTGACGAGAGACACCCACCTGGAAAGGAAATAAAAAAAAAGCCTTTAAGTGCTATTTAACAGTCCTCTGGTTTAAAAATCAAAGACAACTAAGAAAGCAGAGAGACACCAACAGGAACAGGTTTAACAGAAGAATTCTCGATACTCACGTGGATTCCATTTCCCGTAGCTTGGCCCCAGCTGTGAGCTGCATGTTCTTCCTTTGCCAGTTCAGATCTTGGATGTTTTTCCTGGGGAGAGAAAGATCTATGTAGTTTTTTCCTCATTTCTTTAAAATCTGTAGTATCTGTTGCTAATTTCCAAATATACTTAATGCTTAGAAGTACTACCAGAAAACACTCGTGCAGCCAGGACTGTAATGACACCACACAGATGGATAAATCCCAGTACAGGGTTCACAGAAAATAAATAAAATAAGAGATAAATAAAAGGCCAAGTCCAACATGAGGGAACATGTCTTTGCAGAGACAACTGCACACTAAACAGAAATCTATCAGTAGTGAAAAGAAACCATTACAATTCCACAATCCAGAGCAGAAGTTCAGACATCATAAGCCAAAGCCAACCAAACCAAATGAAACACAGAATTTTGAGTAGAACAGGCATTATGAATGTAACTGCTTGGGCAGGGCAGGGTCACATTTCTTAATTATTGATATTACTGAGTCTTTTTTCCTGTGATCATGGCAGCAGCACATACACCAGCCTTTGTAAAGCTTGGGAGAATTTCAGTATGAATCCAATTTCAGCCTGGAAACATGAATGACTCACCTCAACTTCTGAAGCTCTTTCTGGGCTTGTTCTATCATATGAACCAGGTGTCTGATGGCAGAATGCAAGCAAAGCATTAGAAAACCACACAGTTGCTGAGTTAAAGTGTCATTTAACCTGACATTTAACCCTCCAGAGTTAAGGATACAACAAGCCAGTGCAACCCAAACACACTGTTCTGGATAACAGACCCTCTCTCCTGAGCTAAGCAACCCTTTGCCTTCTCTCAGAGCTGGGTTTTGCATTCCTTTTGCCTACTCCTTTATCTAAGGTTGAGCCAACCCTTCTCAAAACCGAACATTAACATTCTCTGCCTGAAACACCCCTAGTGTTTCCTGCAGCAATGGCTTTTGCAGCAGCTTTATTATGCTCCAGGCTGAGCAAGTTCATCTTTACAAGTAGTAAGTTCATCTTTATTTCCACTACTGAATTATTCTTTCTCTGTCTTTAGTCCCTTCAGTTCTCCTCAGCTTAAAGTCCATTATCACCAATAGTCACAAAATTCAAGACTGGGATGTATCAGAACACGGGCTGTTCCTTGGCCACAGAGAGAGATTCTTCTCCCTCAGATCGGCCTCCTCTTGCACTCACAGCTCTCACAGGGAGATTATGTTCCTGAACTATTCCAGATCATACTCCAAAGACCCTGCAGGACTCACACAGGAAAACACAACAAACACGCAGCAGTTCAGCTCAGAACTGGTTCAGCTGAGGGCCTTACTCGTTGTACACCTTCCAGGCGTTGCAGCCGTGCTGGGACATGAGCTCCAGGTTCTCGATGCGCACGGCCTGGTGCTCCAGCTGGGCCATGGAGTTGTTCACGCACTCCTGCCACGCCG